TACCCACTTATGGTCATGATGGTGGCAGTATCTTGATTGAAAAGGAGTCCCCACAAATGGTTTGGGGTAGAGTGGCATGGTTCAGCTTCACAGGTGAGAAGAATAGCAAAGACTGACAGGTCAGCAGGTGGCTGTGAGTTCAGGTTGGGTTCCAGTGCTGGTTGGGAACAGAATACAAACCAAGAACCCCAGGCTGAGGAAGGTGCCCACCTTCTGTGCTTCCTGTGCAATTTCCCATAATGGCACATGCCACTTTACACTGCAGTTGTCAGTATGTATGTTTGTCCTGTACAGATTCAAGCTGCTTAAAGGCAGAGTCTGTGTCATTCATTGGACAAATATTTATTGAGACCTGCATTGTGCCAAGTACTGTTTTAGGCGCCAGAAATTATACATCAGTGAACTATTTTCAGACAAAAATCTACATCCTTATGAAATCTACTCTCATCATCACATATTCGGCACCTAGCACAATGCCTGAAACATAGTGGGTGCTCAGCAATAACAAAGAAGATGCTTGGCTGTGATGATTAGAAGGAAAACCTGCAGTGTCAAAGGACCTGTGACTTTGTCTCATCACAGAGGCCTTGGAAACCAGGCATAGATCAGAAGATTAATTCTAGTCCCCACTTTTGAAGTGATGCAGTTTGCAGGTCTGATATATTTGTACCTGCCTTGCAATCTGGAAGCTGAGTGTCTAGAGAATAAAATTTTTAACCACCAGTATTTGGGCAGTTCCCCAGCAAAAAGGAATTGAGGGATGGTACTCAATACATAATAGGCTTGCTCTAGGTTACAGAGTCGAATATGAGGACAGGAGGGGATATTCAAAAGCATGTGGTCAATCCTTTCCTCCTCCATCCTCCCCTTTCTAGTTTTTACTCTCCCTTGCAGTAACCATTATGTTCATTTCAATCACACCCATGACAGGGAACTCACAATTTACTAAGACACGCATTCCATTTTGAGGAGCTGTCATCATTAACAAGTTCCTCCTGAAGTCAAGCGAAGCTTAATCTTCCTCTAGTTTCCTCGTTGGTCCTGTTTTGGTCCTTTGAGACAACTCAAGAGGTCTTATTGCTCTTTCTTACAATTTAGATATCAGAAAATCATTCTCTAATTTTCTCTATGAAAACAAATGCACCCATCCTTTCCTCCTTTCCTTCTCTTGCATTGGAGCAAGTTTCCTTTTCTGCATCTGAGGTTCACCCTTCCACCTGTGCTCTGAATTCCACCCCTTTCCACCGGCACTATGTTCTCAGATACTTTTCAGCCTATTCGGGTCACACTTCTGCCCCCCATCACTCTATTGAAACTACTCTGGGGAATCTCAAGACCTCCTTCAGTAGTACACTCAAGAGACGTTTTTAGCAATGGTTTTATTTCAGCTCCCCGTGGCGTGGCACGGCTTTGGCACTGCCCACCATGGCCTCACACCTGGCTGCCTTTCCTGCTCCCTCCTCAGCAGCTCCTCTTCAGCCTCCTGGTGGGCATCTCTTCCTTTATTCCTTGCTTAAGTATTAGTCAATACTTCAGGACCTCAGGGTCCTGTTCTAAATGCTCTTCCCACTCTATACCCTCTCCCAGGGGGATTTTGGTCACCTGCCTCACTTTGCTTAATACTTAGCGAGTATAAGCTAATAACTCATAAATCCCTAGCTCAAATTCTTTTCTGGGGCTCCAGATCTCTTTATGTATCTATTTTTAAGACCTCTCCAAGAGAACATCCTACAAGTGCTCAAACTCAACACCTGCAGAATGGAATCCTCCCGTGTTCCTTGTCTAGCCAGAATCCAGGTGTCATTCTAGATTCCTCTCTCTTCTCGCCACATCTTTCAAAAATCATCAAAAGAGGTCATGGACCCTGCTATAACATAAATCACATCTCTAATATGTTTAACTTAAAAAAATCTATTTCAAATACCTTATATACATGCACCTTTTCAGGGTCATGTCCAAATGTATAAAATACCACTAAAGTAAACCAGTGCAAACCTTTGGGAGGGTAATTTGGCAAAAGTATATCAACGTAGAAAACACACATATACTTTAATTCAGAAATTCCACCACTCAGACTTTTTCTTACAGTCATAACTGCAAGATCAAAAGCTGCAAAAGAAGATCAGTTATATGACTTATAGGACATGGATACAATGGGGACATGACACATTATTAGGAAGAATGAGGGTGATACATAGTTGTGCATAGAGAAAGACAGTCAAGATAAATTAAGTCACAAAAGTGCAAGACAGGACACGAAGCCTGATCACTCTGTGTGGTTTCAAAAAGGAATGTATATATGCTGGTTCTCAAACCAATTTGGGGGCAGAATACAAAAGAAATCATTAACAGAGAAGGGGGATGGCAGAAGCGAGGAAAGAAGGCTCTTCAATTTGTGCTTCTCTCCTGGCTATGTTGTCTACTGTGGATATTTATTTTATAAAAGAAGGTCAGAGGCAGTTAATAATAATACATGATAATAACAGTGGAATCAGTAATAATGTTCACAAGCTTGCCTGTGTGCTTCACACAGCTATAAACACTTTACACAGATAATTTTATTTAACTCACACATTTCTATGAGATAGGAACTATTATTATTATACCTACTTGGCAGATGAGGAAATTCAGGCTCATGAAGGTTAAGGAAATTGTTCAATGTCACACAGCTGCTAAAGGGAGAGCTCAGATTAAACTGAGGTCTGTATGACCTAAACCAGCGCTCTAAACTGTTGCTGCTGTTTTTGCTTTTCTTGGTTATATTTTTTCATTTTAAAATAAAAATCCTGCTAAATATGATCACATGCACTTTAATACAGGTAAAAACTTCCTCAAATGTCAAAACTCAAAGTATCCTTTTCCCTAACGTGTTGTAAATCCAAACAAAAATTATTACATCACAAAGGCCCCAGATTTTGGAGGCTTAATATGTTCAAAGTGTGAACAATACTAGAAATGTTTTAATGAGAAGCATTACTCAAAATGACAGTATGGATAAACACTTAGAAGAAGGACAATACAAAGAAGGAAAGGGAAGAATGTAAATGGGGAGAAGACACGAAAAGGAAGGAGAGGAAGATTTACGAGATTGTGCTAACACTGGTGATTTACAGCTTTAAGGAGATGCTTTATAAAAGTAGTCTAGGCTATCATTTCTGACAGCTGTAATTTTTTCCCATTACATGCACTGAAGAAACACTTTATTTCCATTACGGATAGAATGAGGGGGTATTTTTCAATGAGAAGATGATGCCACGAAGTCCTATGGACCATGCTTTATTGTAATTGCCTCCACACACCAGCACCACTATTAATTTTTATGGGAAATGATTACCAAAATAAATAGGTAACTCATTGCCACTCCAGATTTGCATATAATCAAAAGTAATTTTCCCAAACCTTTTCCAGGTGAACATTTTAACTATCTCCACCCACTCTAGTCAGTGTTTCAAGAAGGTTCTGGTGTGAGCCAGCGATTTAGAGATCATTTTATCTACATGTGCCCTTCCTCTCTGATTTCTTCTACCCTGGCTGAATCTCTTAGGTTAAGTTGCTTGCATTGTTGCTTTCCAAATGATCCCATTGGGGTTTCGAGGGTGGTTTATCAGGTAGTTCTCTGGAATCAACTTGGTTAAATTAAGTCTACACGTGGGTACGTTAAGAAGTTCTGATTTAACAACTGTTGACCAGTCTCTAGTCCATTGTTAACTACTAAACTGTCTGTGGGAAGAGTACAAATGGAGACCCATATACCACATAACTAAACATTTAAACAGTAAAATCTATCACACTGTTAAATAAAATGTTTATTCCCCCATCTTGCCAAAAGTATCTTAAACAACAATAAAATTTTTACCAACATGTAAAACATGGCTTTTATATACCTGAAGAGAGCAACATTTCAAGAAAATGGAATTTTATTATTATTGTACAAGCATGGGTGCTTTGTTGACTGAGCTGGTGATGTTTGAGTGAGTAATAAAATGAAGATACTCCATAATTCATGGATTATTAATAATTATTCCACACAATTTATTTTTCTTGTCTTTATTTCAGGAAGAGAAATGCCAATTATGTTGTTAAAGTCAGGATTTTCTTATAATTTGTGTTCTATTAACAGTAATGTCAAATTGAGTCACTGCAGTTCCTAGACTATTTTTATTTAAATTTGGAGAAACTGCCCAGCTGAAAGATAGCAAAAAAAATTAATAAAATTTGCAATATATATATTTGGGAATGAAGCCAAAATTTTATACAATTTAAACTTTATTAAAGAAAATTTTATGAAAATAGTTCATTTTCATTATGTAACTTATGTAATTATCACCATCTCTTACAGTAGTATTTTTATTTAATCTTCATTTACATATAATTGCTGGGATTTTATTTGATTTGTTCAAAGTAGATCTAATAAAAATAATTTTACTTTATTTTCAATGTTTTGGTTAGTAATTAAATCTTTATTTAATTAGGAATGTATAATGTCCTGTTTGAAAATTTTATGTGAGTCATGGTCAATAAAATCTCACTTTTATTGTTTTGAGTTTTTAAAAACCTAAGCAAGCTGTCTGAACATTTTCTATTTCTTGATGTTTTTTAGATTTTCCCCCAGCTCTACTTTTGTATTTTCTATTTCTAGTATGATCATTCTCATTAACCTAAAGGATTAAGAAATAAAATATAAGTATATTAAAACTAAATTTAGTTTGACCTATTTTCATTAAAAAAGGAAATTCAAATTTTATCCATGTTTTCAAAAATATTATGTTCTATAATATTCAGAATGGTATATAAAAGTTAAAATGCAATATAAAAGTATAATGATTGATACAAAGTTTAATATAAAATTACTTAAATGAGTCTGAAATTATTTGGGGGAAATTAATAAATCTCATTAAATACTTTCACAAAAACAAAACTATTTACAATTCCAACTTTTAATGCTTATCTAGTCATCATTTACAAAATTTAGATTATGCCTTACTCATATTCTGTTTATACTTATGTATATGTAGAAATAGATATAGATACAAACACAAACAAATATAAGAGTGATATTGACTATTTAATACTGCAAAATGTTGCCTGGATGCCACGTGCAATAATGAATGTAGAAGACGAGGACAGCCAGAACCTGGATGCTTGATACCACTGGGAAGGGGCGTTTCATTCTACAGGAGTCTAATGCAATAATCTTATTTGAGAGGAAGGCTTTAACAAATCGGTTAATTTGCCTTTTCTGCTTTTTACATGCTTCCACATCCAAAATCCTCCCTGCACTCAGGAGCAGTGTCAGCAGCCGAACCCACAGATCTTCGCAGCATTCGGTGATGGCCAGCACTTGTCTAGAGGATACAGGAAAAGGGACGCAAAGTGTTTCCCAAGAACGAAAAGTTTTACTTCCAAGAGCAGATGTTTAGGATTATGGGTTCTGCCACGTCAGCACCAAGTGCTGCACAGATGGCAAGTGATAGAAGTCCTCACGTGCTCTTTCACAGAAGTTTGCGATACTCAGGGGCCTCTGGAGTGCTGGCCCAGGGCATAAACCTTTCTTGCCCAAGTCCTAGGGAAGGATGGCTGGGAATCCTGTGTCCACGGTCTGGCTCAGCCATGATTGTGTCCCTAAGGCCTTTGTCAGGGCTGCTGTCCCCAGAGATACGCTACTCATCACATAGAGTGTTTAGGACAAGCTCTTTCCACAGTGAAAAAAGATTGACTGGATCTACATGTATCTCTGATATACCAGAAATCATACTTTTTCTATTATGACAAGAGTCTGCCATTTTCTGCTGAGAGACCTTGGACAAGTTATTAATTCTCCAAGTCTCAGTTTCTTCAGTCATAAAATGGGTATAGTAAAACTACTTCCTGGAGTTGTTATGAAGATTAGATGAGTTGATGGATTGTGAAATAACTTGTTCATTGCCTGATAGATACCTATGTTTTTACTCCTGCTGCGAAATGGATCCTTTCACTCTCCATCCCACTGTCCAACCAGTAAGCTCCATCAGTTCTCCTGACATATCCTAGGGCAAGAAAATAGCTGGGTTGTTTTCTAAAGAAAGAAATTCCATGCCCAAGAAGGTGACTGATGTTCTATGTCAACCCTAGACTAAGTCAGCTTTTCCTCCCAGCTCCCATGTCACCCTTAACTGCTTGAGCAATTCCTTCAATTCTGCAGGGCACACGCCTTTAAATTCCTGGACACAACCCTATCTAAGCCCTCAACGCTGCCCAACAATCTAGTGTCATTTCATGTGTTGGCCCAGTGACTCTTTCAGGTCTTGCCAACCTCACTCAAATGTTCCACCTCTCCTCATTCTCAGCAGACAACCCTGCTTCTTATTTCACAATGAAAAATTCAGAAGATGGGAACTCTCTCAACCAAGCCTGTAAAGCCAGTTTCATTGTCTCCATCGACATCTCCACCTTCCCTCTCCTTGTCAAAGTACACCCTTCCCCTGTGCTCTTGACCACCTTCCCCCTCAACAGCTCATGGATTTCCCTTCATAAACTATTAGACTTCTCTACTTCAGTTTCTCTCCTTACACTTAGTCCTATCCATCACTATTTAATTATATTCATGCTTTTCTTTTCTTAAAACAAAACAAAAATAGAAAAAAGAAAAAGAAACACTCCCTCCACATGTCCCCTGCCAGCTTTGATGCGATCTCTTCTCTTCCACAAACCCCACTTCCTGAAGTTGTCGTCTCCATTTATTGTCGTAATTTCTCCAGCTCCCACATATTCCCCAAGCCATTTCCATCCAGTTTCACTTTACCAACACTGCTCTCATCTTCAGGGTCAGGCCTATGATGCCAAAGCCAAATTTTCAAAGTGCTGATTGACCCTGGGCAGCATTAATGTTGTTGACTCCCTTCTGCTTCTGGAAACACTGTCTTCTCGTGGCTGTCATGGCTTTTCCTTTTCTTTTTTTCTCTACCTCCCCAACAGTTTCTTCCCTATCTCCCCCTCCAGCTCCTCCTCTACTCCTAGTTCTGAGACGTGTAGGGTGCTCTTCTAAATATTTTCTCAATTTACCCCACACATTCTCACGTGGCAACCTTATCCACTTCCGCTCACAAGACAGGACACTGTCAGGGGCAACCCAGACCATCTTAGGAAGGGAAGTTATTGGCTCACACAAGTGGGGAATTCAGAGAATGAAACTTGGCTCTATCCACGAAGGTGACTAATCATAGTAAGAATCTGTCCTGTTTCCTCTGTCTCTGAGCCCTGCTTTACACAGTGTTGTCTTCAGTCTCAGCCAGGCTCTCTCCCTGAACAGCCAAGAGAGCTACAGACAGCCCCAGACTTTCCTGGCCCAGGATCTTAGAAGGAAAGAGATGAACATTCTTCTCATATCCACTCCCACTTTCTCAAGAAGAGTTCTGATAAACTCACCTCAGTTTACATCCTCACCCTGAACCAAACACTGTGGGCCAGAGGGATGGGGTACTTAGAGGGTTAGTCTGGGTCCCATCCCTGCAGTCGGAGTAGAGTCGAGTGAGTCCCAGCCAAGACACGAATGTCCTCACAGGAACTCTGAGGAAGGGAAGGAGTTTTGGGGCAAGAGAACAAATATCCATGGCCTTGTTTATCACCTTTTGTCAACTTTTTTTGCCTATAATTTCTAGCTTCATTATAGGTCTTGAGCTCTAGAACTTCATATCCAGCAACCTCTCAGCACTACCTCTTTGGGGGAAATGTAAGGCAAATTAAACTGTTTGAAAAGTGAACTCAAGTATTTTCCCCCCTAAAATTTGCTTGTCCCCTTCGAGCCTCTCCTTCAGCAAATGGCACCACTATCTATCCACTTGCTCAAGCCAGATACCCAGTGGTCAACCTGGCTGCCTCCTGCTCTCCAGCTGGAGATCCATATCCTGCTGATTTTCAGATGCTGTGACTTTTAAATGGTTCATCTGTTGAAATCATATCAAAGCATCTTTTCTGACCACAATGGCAGAAATTCTATAGTTCTTCCCTCCACTTCTTTCAGTTTCCTCTACCATGATCCTAATTCAAGACATCATCATTTTTGCATAAATTTCAAAAAAAAATTGTCTAAATGACATGTCATTTTTGGCTCCTTTTTATTGCCTCCCCCCTATTTAATGAAAAATGTTGAAGTTATACATGTACATAAAGATTTCACAAAATTTGTCATGAGAAATAACACTAGTCCCCTACCCATCCTTCCATTGTTTCCCTAGAGGGGGTAACTATCAACAATTTTAGCTAATCATTTAGGTATTTACCTCCTAAATAATAGGCTGTATTGTTACATTTTGATATTTTTCAATTTTGGGCATTACCTATAGACTTCCCTCTGCAAAGGATGAGGACTTAACTCTCTCTCCTCTCTCCGTATATTAATATATATACTCATACACATACACACACACATACACACACAGTAGTATCATCCCCCCTTTCCCAATATAGTTGTATCATAGTTTTGGCTTGGTATTTTGGATTGATAGTCAATGATGTACATTAAAATGATACAAAACTATTCACAGCTGAAGACATTAATGATAGGTTTTTTTTCTTCTTCCTGTTTAATATATGTCTCTCCTAAGTGGCTTCTTTCTGTTTTACTTTTTTCTTATTTCTTACTTTTATTTCTTTTTTTTCAGTCTATATCTTTCATATTAGAGGCTCTTCTAGGATGCCCATTAATGCCTGCTTGTCTGTGGCTACTGAAGAGGGAGGGGTGATTGGAAGCTCTGGGTCCATGTGTGGGCTTGTTAACTGAGATTCACTGTCAGATGACCTGACTGGGCTTTTAATTGTGGAGGACTTGCCCCTGGGCCAGGAAGATCTCCTAAAGAAAACCATCCCACTTTCCTGCCTTAGGAAGAAAGGTGGGCCTGGCTTTCAGCACTCTAGGAGTGGAGAACAAAGTCCCCAGGTTTCAGTATCCAGTCTACTTATGTCTTCTAACTGGCCCATTTTTCATAAGTCACACTTTCTTCCAGACACGCGTGCCTGGACATCTCCCAGTCCAGAAACCTTCTAGCCAGAGAACAAGTCTTTTGCTGAGTGAAAGAGTGAGAAAGAGTTTGCCAGTTACACAGAATGCAGGAGTGAATTTGATGGCTTCTAAAACAGATGTTAGGCTAGCCCTCCAGGTTACTGAATGAACAAATGCTGCTTGTGGTTGGAGAGAGTCCAGCAACAGGCTAGCCTGGACTGGGAGGGGCAACCCTGAGAAGAACTAGTAAGTCAAGACAAAATCATGACAGCAAAATATAAAAGTGTGCCAAAGTTCTGAGTCAGGAGAGAGGAAACTGACAGAGAAACTCAGGGACAAATTACAGGATGAATAGCAAGTTTGTTAGATGGGGAGAGAGAACGTACCAAGATTCTGCTGCAAGGAGGATCACAGACCTACTTCGGAGGGTTATGTGATAGCAACAGATAGTGTATATAGCCTGTTTTACATTCTGGGTTTTTAATAAATTGTAGTAGTATACCATTTTTAGTTAAGATGTTACGCTATTCAGATTTTTTTTTGGAAATAGGCATATTTTTATATTACGACCAAGAGGAACACATCTGGAAAGTATTTATGAAGGAGATATGTGCTTCTGGAAACAGAAACCAGTAATACATTTTAGTGGGAACTCATGGACATCTGCATCTGAAATGACTCATTGTCACTTCCTTTCCTAAGTGTTTTATCTCCACTGCAGATTCAAACCCCAGGCAGGGAAAGTCTAGTTAGATTGGGTCTCAGTGCTCCCCTCAAAAAGGTAGTTCCCATAATAATAATAATAATAATAA